AAGCAAGCGTGGACTATACTGTGCAAAAAAAAAAAAAAAGAATAAATAAAATAAAAATTGTGTGTCATGCGGAGTTGCTGTCTATATAGAGCACTCCAAATCAGTCACTCATGAGGTTCCATGACAGTTAACATGCTGCCTTTGAAGGCAGCAGGCAGCATGGCGGCTTACTAGGTTTGGGAACAGAGCTTCTGTATGCATGTCAGGATTATTAATTATACACCAGCTACCGCTCTTCCTCTCATACAAACACACGCAAATTGAAGAGGGCTGCTGACCCTACTAGCTGTGCGGTGCTATTTTGGAGGGCTTTAAGCAGCTATTTAAATTCATTAGAGGTGACTATTGTTTACCTCAGACAGCTAAAATTTTGATTCTCTTTCTCTATTGCTTTCTGTCGTAGGCGGTAATGTCGATGCCGTTGAGTGTACACTTCCAAAGGACTTAAGGGGTCGTGACATCAGGGGCGTTCCTGTGGAGATGTTCAACTACTGTCTGCAATTGGAGGATGAGAATGGGGGCAGGGCTGGGAGCACAAAGGGTGGATCTCCACCATGTTTTCGAGGGACAGCCACTCCGTCGTCTGAAGGTGCAGTGGTGCGTACAGAGGCAGAACTACCAGACTGTGTAAAACAGCGTTATCGACCAGTCAGTGTTCGCAGGGCGATCGGTACAGTAGTGATCGCTGGTGTGGTCTGTGGAATCGTGTGTATTATGATGGTAGCTGCTGCAGCGTATGGCTGCATTTATGCGTCTCTAATGGCAAAATACCAGCGAGAGCTAAAGAAGAGGCAGCCATTGATGGGTGATGCTGAGGCAGAAGCCGACGCGGAGGAGAAACAGATCTCATCAGTTGCATAGGGGAATGGGGGAGAGGGGTCAGAGGTCAGCCACAAATATAAAGAACACTTTACTGGTTGAGCTGCACATTTGATGATCATTTAGCTGACCAGCAGAAGATTCATCATCCCTGTTTCCTGTCTCTCTGTCCTTCCTGAGACCCTCTCTGACTCTCAGACTTACACTTTACTCAAACTCTAAACTTTGGCCTGTGACCTTTGACCTATTTGCCCCAGGACAAGAGGGACCACTCAGCACTTTAGAACTCCCCCACCCTCCTCCAATGTTGAGAGGATCTCAGCAGAGGAGGTGTGGATGCAGCTGTTCACAGTTCTGAACCCTGATGTTTCTAGAGGATCATGTGCTGTCATTAGCATTAGCCTCTGTAGCAGCCTAACCATCAACCCAAACCTCCAAATCATAACTCTAATCCCAACCCCAATCCTAGACCTTTAACTCTAATCCCAACCTCTCAAACCTAATCCAAACCCCCAACTCTAACCCTAACCCTTTATACTAACCCCAACCATAACCATCACCTCTAACACTGTCTACACCGGGTCGCACATGCAAGTGGCACATCACATCAAAAGCCAGTAACACTCATTATAATAAATACTGTCTACAATGGATACATTCTGATGCATTGCACCGTAAATTGATGCCCCAATTTCTGACATACTACATGGGCTTTTTCTACTTCGACAAAAGGACAAATTGATTTGGAATGTTGACTTTAAGTGTTGACTCATGTAAACAGCCTCAATCTTGTCAACCGATGTGCTTGGTGTAGACATGGTGTAATCCTAAACTTCCAACTATACTACCAAGCCTAACCTAAAACTTCCAGTTCTACTCCCAAACCTTAATCCTAAACATACAACAGTAACCCCTACCCTTACCAAAAACCTCCATCCTTAATCTAAGTCCCCAACCCTAAACCTCCAACAGTAACCCCTACCCTTACCATAAACCTCCATCACTAATGGAGGTGGCTATTGGAACCCCCAACTCTAATCCTAAGCACCCAACACTAATCTAAACCCCCAACCCTGAACCTCCAACACAAATCCCTACCCTTACCAAAAGACTCCATCACTAATCTGAACCCACAACCATAAACCACCAAAGGGAATCTCTACCCTTACCATAAATCTCCATCACTAATATGAACCCCCAACTCTAAACCTCCATCCCTAATCCAAACATCCAACTCTTACCCTAAACCTTCAACTCTACTCCCAACCCAAACATTAAACCTCCAATACTAACTCTAACCCCCAGCACTCACCTCCAACCTTAATTGTAACCCTTAACTTGGGTTGTAAGTTAAGGGTTACAATTATAACCCTTGTAACCCCAGTGTGAACTGAACATCATAACCCCCACATATCATATTTGAAATATTCCCACCTTATTTATCAGCTATAATATATTCTATACAATGTGATGTGACCCCAGTTTTATGTTTTAAGTGTGAGGTTTGTCCTTTGTATTGTGTGAAAAAAATTTGTGTTGATGACATTGTTTTGTTTGTTTACTGTTTGCTGTTTCTCCATGTTCATCTCTAGAGGTCAGATGTGTTTTTGTAAGACTAGAAGAATCCAGCCCTGGTGTCTGTCGTGAAGTGTCTTGAAGTATCGTGAAGTGCTAATGTAGAGCAGGCTGAAGACTCTGTTGATGTTAGTGGAGGGTGGCAGATCGTGGCTATTGGAACTGTTAATTACACCTTGGTGGCTAAAGAAGCACAGTGGCCCTATATGATAGCTGCCCTCAAAACAAAAACAGAAAGACAATAGCTGAGAAGGAAATAAAAAGGATAAGAAGGATAGTATAATAAGATATAAGCTATAAGAAGGATAGTATTTTATGTGCAATATAAATCAATGTCTTTCTTGATCTGTTGTTTAATTCTGGACTAGTATGTCATAGCTGATTTAGTCTGATCTTTTCTCTTGGGCTGGCGATGGAGGAGAATCGATTGCGCCTGTGTGATCAATCTTCTGCTTGTGGGCCAATTTGCATAATCCGCTTTCCCTTGAGGGCAGAAGTTGTTTAGACTAAATAATTCAGACATATTTGACTTGAGCTTTCAGAAGCCAACAGATATTATCAATATAAGCTTTTATGCGGCAAATCAACCGCAGCGACTGGATGAAAAAGGGAAAGAAAGACTGTCAGAAACTAGCGGCACACTGTAACCAACATATTCATTTCCTCAGTATTACTGAAAATGTTGAATCCGAAAATAATGTTGCTAATAATGTCAAGAGTAACATCATCATTGGGTGTCTTGCACAATGCTGCCATCTATAGGAAGGATGTGCAGTAGGCACAAGGGTATGGAGCCAATATCACACCACCTCATCAGGATTTAGGAGATGCTCTTCCGTTGTAACTATAGCAACAGTCTTTCCCACACACTATTCATTACCAATGCAAATTACTGGTAAGGTTGCTGGCAAAAAGTTGTAAATCAAAAGTACAACTAATTTATGTGCGAATACCCACACCAGCAGTTAAGCATCTAGGACTTTGTCTCTGTGTTCAGTGATATTTGCAGCCATATGCTGAGTATATATAAGTACAGCTATACATTTATTCAAATGTATGTTGAATATATGTATATATTTTAATCTGTGTCTTACAAATTATTTATAAACAATAACTTGATTGCAAAAATTTAGTATACTTTTCCCTGTGTTTCCTGTGCAAACTCCTTTTGTAGAGGAACTCTTAAAAATTCTCTGTCAGAGAATTCAGAGAAAACTCATGCATTATTAATGAGAGGAGTTTCGACTAATGGCTGCGGTCTCTCGTGCCATTACTGTTCATTTAGCTCTTATTTTATACAGCATGTGTCAAAGGCCTGTACTCTGCACGGGGCGACAAAACACGTACCCTGTATGCTCTGTTATGAAAAAAAAAAGAAAAAAGACAAAAGCACTTTTGCCACTGGTGGACTAATACTTTCCTGTCAAATTGAACTTATTGCAAATGTTCTCAAAAGGGAGCACATGCTTGTTTATTGACAATGTCAGCAATGCGCTTTATCTGAATATTAGCCGACAGAGCAGTCGTGATGTAATGTCAGTGACATTACAAGGTTTATGACTCAGCTGGGGTGTGTTTACTCTGTCCTGGCTTTACATTACGGGGCGACAAAACACGTACCCTGTATGCTCTGTTATGAAAAAAAAAAAGAAAAAAGACAAAAGCACTTTTGCCACTGGTGGACTAATACTTTCCTGTCAAATTGAACTTATTGCAAATGTTCTCAAAAGGGAGCACATGCTTGTTTATTGACAATGTCAGCAATGCGCTTTATCTGAATATTAGCCGACAGAGCAGTCGTGATGTAATGTCAGTGAATATGAAGGGCGGTTTATGACTCAGCTGGGGTGTGTTTACTCTGTCCTGGCTTTACATTTAAGAGCAGGGACACCACACACTTCACTACGCACCCTCGCTAAATAAAGGCTTTGTAAATCCCAATTGATGGATGAGAGGAAAGGATTTGCCCATTTGACTGAGCTGAGAGCATCTTCAAGATCTTTATGAAGTTCTGGTTTAATTTCTTATAGCTTATTGATGTGACCCTTTCTTCACTTGACCTTTTTTCTAAGACTGATATGAGATCCTTCTTTATATTTTCGCTTGATAAAAATCCGTTTGAAATATGATTTGTGAGCTGTGATATAATTCTGTGTTAAAAATGAATAAAGAATGTATTTCCGTAAACGTTGAAGTGTAAGATTCACCAAGCACTCACACACAGTTTGCTCAAAGTAAAATAATAAAATATGTGTAAAATATTCTTTAGTTTTACACAAAATGGAGAAGGATCCGGATTCAAAATCTGAACTGGATGGAAAAACCAAGGGGGTCAAGCGTTAGCTGATTAGCATAGTCTAGTTAGCCCCTGCTGGTAGATAATAAAACTACACCATTACGGTGATATAATGCATCTTTTTCCATTGACTGACTTTTTTTTTTTGCTTAAAAGCATGAAATTGATTAAAAAAAGATTTAAAAGAATGAGAATGCTAGCAGATAACTAAGTCCAACTTCCAATGACTTCCGGATCTTTTTCTTATATAAATGCATTAATACAAGTAATGAGTTTTGAGTGTCTTCATGAGTACAAAAGAAATAGCACAAGCAAAGGTCATGTTGAGGAAAAGAGATGTTCATGAGGAGGTGAACTCCATACATGGTAGCACATCCATACATGGGCACATGTGCACACACACACTTAAAATGGACAAAGATAATAGCATCTCAATGGGTGGTTTTTCATCAGCACAGACTAATATAGAAGAAGAAAAAAAGATAAGAATAATCAGGGAAAAGCGTACCTCCAGCAACTGCTGTGTTTTTGTTCACAGGGTCTGTAACAGACATGACAGCAATCATAAACCTGCTATCCACTGCAGGGAAAGAAAAAAAATACTGAGCACGATGCTCTTAGCAGGGTGTAAAGTCTCCTAGTCTGTATGATGTGGACTGCAGGGTGCAGGCTACCTTGTGTGCTGTCCTCTATAGGGATGTAGTACAAAAAGCGTCCAGCTGGATTCTCTGCCGCACGCCGATACCAAACAGGGAAATGGTCCAGAGTAAAAATATTCTCCTTATCTGATGGAGATAAGAATTTTCTGCAATGAAACCATCAAAAAGAGATTAATTAATATAAGTGAGTGTGTGTGTGTGTGTGTGTGTATATATATATATTACAAGTTACAAGTATTCAGATTCAACTACTATGGTCAGTGCCTTATTTACGTTGATTATGGATATTAATATGATTAGCATCTGTTCATTGATTTATGTATAACCACATTAACTAAGGTTTATTCTCTTAATAGCACATTATGTTTTACTGCCTGTTCCCCTTTATCTTCCCAGTGATGAGTGTATTTTAGAGTGCATACTGATGAAAGTGATATGAAGTGCTGTTGGAGTGGGTTGCCTTAAGAAAACCTATGACAATGCAGATACGGTCTATGCAATTGAGTCGTGACGCAGACAGCAGGAGCTCTTGATTAAAGGTACTCACTTCGCCACACGTTTCTCTACGCCGACATATCTGATCATTCTCATGAGGCCGGAGCGTGCCCAGGAACGCAGTCTCCACACCCCCATCAATTCTGCACACGACGGCGGTGAGTTAAAAGAATGAGAAAGGTCATGGGCGAGCACGTAGTTGACTTATGAAACTTATCTGTGACGCTGTGTGCGTGGGTGGGAAGTTTTACCCGGAGGCATTGAGCAGCAGTGCGGTCCAGTAGGCTTCCATAGGAGCTGTGACCACTGCGTCAAACAGAGTGTGCTGCAGAAGTCTTTCATCACCTGAAGAACAGAGAGAACAGAACTCAACTGCAGATATTATCAATCATTATTGTGTTTAATTCCATAACAAAATGGTTATGCTGTATACAGAGAATACAATGTACAATGATATGAGATGATTTACAAGTGCAACTAATTGTTTAGCTCTGTTCCAGAACCTAGCAAGCAGCATCCGAACCTAAATGTAACCTTGTAAGTGGCCTGTATGAAAACTCTACATAGGCAACAAGAAGGGTTGGACGTTAGTATGTTGCTGAGACAACAGTGTGCTACTCTAATAAGCAAAGTACAAACACATATTCTGTAAAATCATAATTTTTTCATTAAAATGACCAGTTATTTATATTTTACAGTAAACAATGAAATAGTCATTTATTTAATTTCACACAGCTCACTGGGTTTTTAACAGAGCATTTATGTTGTGTTTGTTGCTTAAAGGGATAGTTCACCCAAAAATGAAAATTCTGTCATCATTTACTCACCCTCAAGTTGTTCCAAAACTGTATGAATTTATTTCTTCTGTTAAGCACAAAGAATGTTGGTAACCAACCAGCTGCTGGTAGCCATTGAATTCCATAGTATGGTAAAAACACTATGAAAGTCAATAGCTACCATCAACTGTTTGCTTACCAAATCTTCTTTTTTGCTCAACAGAAGAAAGAAACTCATGTAGGTTTGGAATCATTTGAGCATGAGTAAATGATGAGAGATTTTTCATTTTCAAGCACCTTGTTGGATACTTTCTTGATAAAATGCTTTTGTATTTGCTCATTTGTAATTGAACATGAGTATAAAAAAAATTTATACAAGTAAAAAATGAAATACCAGGTTAAAACTTGTAGTCTAGTGTCTAAAAGCCTTTAGAGACAGAACTCACATTCCAGGTCTGGTTCTTTACCTGTTAGGTACCGAATCACAGCCTGAAACTGTGTCAGTTTGCGATGATGTGGATCGATGTCAGTCTCACAGTATGTCCTGAAATATCAAAAACCATCAGATTAGAGTATATTACGTCATTTCAGATGTTAAAAACAGCCTAATATGGTCTTTAGCCTTCAATAACACCTACCATTCATTAGCAATAGTGACATCGAAAGCAGTCAGGTCATGCAGGCCTGTAGACAGAAAAAAACAACACAGTTGAGAGGAATTGCAAACGGAAGGCAGTAAACAGAGGCAGACAAATGATCTTTGTTTTGCAGGTACTAATCTGAAAATCTTTACCTTCTTCAACTGAAACATTTCCGATGAAAACATTCTTCCCGTGACCTTTGATAAGTACAATTCCAAGACTGATAACAAAGACGCACAATGTAAGTCCAGAAGAGTCACACTTAGCCGAGATTTTGATATATTGTATCACTACTCACCTGAATGGAGTTTCATTAATGGTAGTGTAAAAATATTAATTTTTCAGGAAAACAGCTCTCTTCTGAGAAGGGAACACATCAGTAGTCACAGCTAGGTTATTATGAGATAAAAATTAATGAATCCAACAAAAGTAAACTTACAAGAAGCGAATTAAAGGTCAAAATCAACTCACTCCTTTCTCTACTGTTGCTCTGACGTCCAGAGAGAGTGTCCCACTTTCCACTTTTACCATCGCTGTTCTCAACTAGAGGATCAAAACACACAAACACCGTGAAGCAATTGATAAAAAAAAATGGCGTGATGAGAGTGTGTGTATGTTTATTTGTATGTATGTGTGTGCTGTTCCACTTAATGCGTCTTCTGTATCTTCCCACTCCATCTCTGACAGATCCACACTGTTATAGTTCGGCTTTGGCTTCAGCTTCTTACCATCTTTATACTAATACAAAGTATAGAAAACATCAACTTTAATGTGATACAAACTAATAACACAATGTAATCAGCTCTTATGGGAAGTATGTGTAGTTTAAGGTGTAAGATCTCTAGAGGGAATAGTGTGGAGCTCACCAGAGGTCGAAGGTCAGGATGAGAGAGTATATAGCCATTATTAGTGTTTAAGAATGCAACTTCCCAGCTGAAACGGCAAGGGAAAGAAACTCCAAACAAAATCACATTTATTATTGAGTCTGCAGTCCAAACAATCGGTAATCATCACTCTGTATGCTGTAATCTCCATGGATACAGCCTGCCTTCTGAATGAAAAGATTTTAGATGCGATCAGTGTTAGTGTAAACAGAGGACTGCACCTTGTATCGAGGAGCCATGAGATGAAATCTTTCAAAGAGACATCAGTGCCAACCACACCAAGGAGGATCCCATAAAACCGCTACAGACGAGAAAGAAAGAAAGAAAAAATCTATAAATTTTAATTAAATTTGACCACCACAACCTCAAAAACCAACAATATGTCAGACAAATATATTTTATAACGTGTTGGGTTAATAAAAAACTATTGAATTGTTTAACAAAAACTTTAAATATCAATAACACCTGTCAAGGACATATCAGCCATTGATTAGTTATATAAGCGCGTTCTTTTTCGTCAGTCGCGCCGCGTGAGCGTGTGACGTTACAGACCGTTTACATCACTCTATTTAGGTACAAAAGTCAGGCTATACGTTAGAATTATAGCGGTATATATTCGACGAACATGTTAGGAGTGTTGTGTATTGCATATTTAATGTTTTCGTTGGATTATATTATATGAGAGTTTACGTTTTATAAGGGATGATTTATAAGCAGGGATGTGACGGGCTTCCAGTATAATGTACAATATCCGAGAATCACGAACTCTCAGTGTAAAGTTAGTTTAACTGCAAAAACGCTATATTAACATGTCAAAACGAATTAGTGGTGAGCATTTTAATTCATCCCAGTGATTCGAATCACTAAGAAGAGTCGTTCAGTTCGCTTTCTGCAACAGGAAGTGACTGTTTTCAGAGAGTTATGAGTGAATTTGTGAATTATTCAGGTAGCTGGTTCATTCAAAACAACGAGTTTATTTAAGTAATGGCTTTTATCATGACAGCAATAGTAACAGCTTAGATAGTGTCCTTATGTCATTTTAATTGTGTATTTCATTTTTACACATTCATAATTCTTCCTGGCGCCCTCCTTGTTGAATGAGACTGAATTACTTGAACTGAATGAAAGAGATTTTTTTGGTGGAGCCACATTTTGCCTTAATTTATTAGGCAGGTCAGGGAGGTCATTTCAGAGAGAGCTGAAGCTTTTAAGTTTGTTTTTGGCAACTCACTGTTTCTTCTTTCTTGCTGAACACAGGCATGGCCACAGAGGTCATCAACAGCAAGCTCTCGGCCTGTGTGTTAAAAAGCTGAAAGACGAGAGAGAGGAAGAGCGAGACAACACAGACTGAACTAATGGTAAATCCCGGCCAGGCCTGTGAAGTGGATAGCAACCTGAACAAGACTATAGAATACTACCATTAAGAGCTGGTGCTTCTCTGGTAGGTGGAATCAGTCTCTTATTGTTCTACGAAACAAAGGCAAAATACAGTAACTACGCCAACACTGAAACTGGAATGGCTCCAGAGTTTATGGTTGAATTGATATAAACTTCCTGAGCGTGTGGAGCCAAACCCATCTGCCACAAGTCAGATCATAGTTTAATTTTCAAGACGTCTGTTGCTTTTGAAGAAACCTCTCCAGATTTCCAAATAATTCAAATCTTCAAAGAAGTCAAATTGTACACATTCAAATTTGCCCTCTCAGCTCCATGTTACACACTTACCATATTTAAATCCCCATAATCGAATTAATGCAGAAAATGTGAGTAGCACCTTTGTGAAAATTATTTAGCTTAAAACCCGCGTGTCACATTAAATGTAAGACTTGTTAATCACCTGTCACAATATGCTGTTTTTACACTGTTTTTAACAAAACAAACAAAAAAATGCATTCATAAAGGATTCACAGCACATAACATCTAGACCTGTAAATGGAATTTGTGAGAATTCCTTTTGTTTTTGATTGAAAATCTACCAGACGTTTGATTAAATTAAAACCTTCACAGGCATCAGAAAGTCTAATTACAACTAAAATGTATCTAAAAAGGAACTTTTAGCAACTAAATTCAAAGAACATGTAAACTACTGCATTTAGGTGTACAGGATCATTTTTGATCTACTGCTCAGAACGAAAGAGTTTACCTCAGCTGTATTGGGTAGCTGGATTGGGATGACAGACATAATGAGATCACTTTCAGGTAATGAAATCACAATATGAGAGGTTCAAGATTAATGAAGGCAAAAATGATCAATATGAGGTTTTGGGACAATATGCAACATGACATTTGTGTACAGTTCTGCCGTCTACAAAAGGAAAGAGAGTGAATGAGAAAAGGTAAGCAGCTCACCACACTGTCCATGTAAGCCTCTGTCCAAATGATGTCATGATCCTGGTTGATGACCATTGGCCTGCTCAGCACATGAAGATATTCCATCACATTCTCCTGTACATCCGCCAGAGTAGAGATATGAGTGTAGTAACCTAATTACAAGCACACAAACACAACCATAATGAGAAAATGTGATTGATTGATTGATTTATGTGTTACCAGCAGAGGGCATAGCTGTCACAATATTTAATTATAATTTTATTAGAGCAGTTTGTGGAAAGAACAGAAATATCAAACAATTTTTTTTTTTTTTACATTGTCATTTCCAGGCTTGAAGAAGGCAGGTAAATTAATAAAATCTAAAAAGTCAAGGAAAGTTCTATTGTCAATATTATTTTGCATAGGTCTGTCAAACTGCCTTTTGTGATCAGTGTTGTTATTGTTAACTAAAACTATAAAAAATGGTAATTGAAATAATGTAAAATAATTCAAATTAAATTAGAATTATAATAAAAGCTAAATATCAGATGAAAAACTAAGCTAATTAGAAAGGTTGGCATTAAAAAAAAAAGTATTTAAAAAGAAATGAAAGCTAAATAGAGGCATTTAAATTTTTTTTTTTACTAATAATACATTTTAAATGAAAACTAAAAATGTAAAAATAAAAGCTAATTCAAAATATGAATGAATGAAAAAATAGTATATAAGTAATACTAGCTCAAATGGCCACTAACAGACACTTAGAACCTTTCACAGTAATAATTCCTCAACTGGATAAGAGTGTGTGAAATCTCATCTACGTAATGTTCTGAGAGAAGGAAGTAATGAGATCACAATAAGAAGGTGACGGAGAGACTGAACATTACAGTAGTAGTCTGGTATACACACTAGCTTACTTGTGTTTATTTAACTTATTAATGTAACAGAACTACTCAGATTACATATACACAGCACAGTGATTACTCTAGCTGTTCAGATATAGGAACGTAACACAAGACAACTGCCCTGTACTTTGTGTTTGTTACTGCTAAAGAGATTGCGTGCATTAGCTGTAATAGCTTTAGTCCTGGCAGAAGGTGTTTGAGGAAACTGGGCAGATGCAGCAGTCAGTCACGGAAAGAAATCAAGATTAAAATCTTTCACCTTGACCCTTGACCCTTCTGCTCCTTGACCCTGAACTGCAGCCAAATCACTTATCTTGATGCCCCCTTGAGTTCTCGATGGTTAAGAGAGGTGAAAAACTTCTTTCGCAATCAGTAATCCAACGTTTGTCGCTGTTTTGAATTTATACTACCATGTCACATTTTTAAGATGCTGTGTCAGATTAAATATTTTAATTAATATTTAATAATATTTCATTAATACATTTTTAATAATTTTTTAATAGAAAAATCCAAAGACTCACCAGTTGCGATTCCTGGCATCAAAAGTGACAACTCCATTTTCATCAGGTGTCCACTTGATACCTTTAAAAGTATATCATTGAATATGATTACTGTCTACTCTCCATGAGAGAGAGAAGGATTTCTGTGTTCATATGTGTGTAAGATCCGGAAAGCATGAGTTTATTGGTTTTGTTACTGTGTCAATAGTGTGATGACATGATGATGAATGATAAAGGCAGAGAGAAGAGCTTGAGTCATTGTCACCACTAATCACACCAGTAATTCTGTGTCAATCAGACTCGCTGTCCTGTGTCTGAGTGAGCAGAAAGGCATGTTCAAATGTGTCATTTTTGTGTTGTATGTTAATAAGAATAATCACTGTGCTTTCATGCAGTAACCTGGAATGGTGCATTTAAAGGGGTCATATGATGCGATTTCAATTTTTCCTTTAATTATGTCCCCACTGGATGCAACAAATGCCTCGTTTATAATGGGTTTTAATGTTTTTGTCTCGTCGCTCCGGCCTCACAATATGGCAAGGGGCGTAACATTTCCGTCACATGCTTGAGGTATTCGGCCAATCAATAACGCACTGGATAGCTGGCCAATCACAGCACACCTTGCTTTTCAGACCGATGAGCTTTGTAAAAATCGACGCGTTTCAGAAAGGCGGGGCATAGAGGAGAAACAATAATGTACAGTATGTGGAAAATAATGTTTTTTTTTTTACTTAAACCGCATAAACACATTTCATTACACCAAATACACAAAATAACGTTCTTTTTAGCAACATCATATGACCCCTTTAAAGGAGTAGGGCTGATGTGTGATGATTACCAGGGTAAAGTCTGAAAAATTCTGTTGAACTGCCGAAGTACTGCCACGTTAGTGTCGGGTCCTTCTCGAAGTTACTGGTAAATATGTCATTCAGCGCTTCTGACATAAACACTCCATTCAGAATATCAGGATCTGAGAGACAGAGAGAGGTTTGCTTTATATTTTTCTAATCAGGTATGAAAATGGACCATTTCATTGCTGCGTCTTACCTTTGTTATAGACATTGGTGGGCACTTGTATGACACTTTGCTGGGTATTGACAGGCACTTTATTGAAGTGTTCATTCATTCTCCCCCTAGCTCCGCATTGTTCCCATCCTCATCCAATGTGTTAATCATCATGGAATTGTAGTAGTCAAACTGCAGAAGAACAAGTGCATTTGAATATAGACTGAGGGATGAACAGAACATTGAGGGGATGGAAGAATGGATAGATAGCTCACCTCTAATGTTGCATTATATTCATGATAAAAATCTGCATCTTCTACTGTCTCTGCCATTCTCTACATAAATCACACACAGAAAAAGAATTCAGGAGATCACCCTCTTATTGAAAACTGAAATGATTCCATAACAAATAATTATTTTGATAGTATTTAAATTTTTTTTTAAAATCATTTTAGAACTGTTTAGAGCAGGGGTGGTCTTCAAGTCTTCAAGACTACTAGAAGGCTAAAGGCAGGTGAGTTTTATCAGGGTTGGATCAAATCTCTGCAGGAAAGTGGCCTGGAAGGGCCAAGTTTGCCCATCACTGGTTTAGAGCATCACGACAAAGGACTGATATCTCGGACCTTAACCGATTTCATTTTTCTGCCCAGCATGTTCTCCATTTCTTCAGCAAATTCCTTCACCATCTTTAAACCATCCACTTCCTGCATCTTGACTATGGGCTCCACTTCTTTATATTTCTACACACAGACACATACATTTACTTAAATAAAAGGACAACATGCATTGTCGTTTTAGTTTTTAATATAAAGCTAAATATAATTATCATAGACTATAGTGGGTTAGTCCATAATAATTCTAATTAGATTTACCCTACTGCTAAAAGAACAGCTTTGCATTAAAATATGTATTTGCAGATTTAAATAATAATAATAATAAGAAAAATAAGAATTTTATTCTGTAAAGCACCTTTCAATGAACTCGAGGTCATTTTGAAATAGGCATTAACAAAGTAAAAAAGGGCATGAAACTACAGAGGAACTATTATAAGCATCGCAGAAATTCACAAACATTCTATTTCTGTTCTGTAATTATAAATTAAGTTTCTAGGACAAAAGCTTTATATGCACTGTTGAAGTCAGAGTTCAGAAAATAACAAATTGTAAATCACTCTGATAGCCAAAAAATAAATAAATAAAAAAGAAAAGAAAAGGCCAAATTCTAGATCATTGTTCAGTATCAAAGAGCAGAATCTCAATCTGTGTTCAAAGCAATGAGTCCTGCTCTCTACCCGTAGGCCAGGAGGAAACAGGAGGTCAGACAGGGATAATCCACCTCCACACAACACTGTAAGAGTACCAGGCTTTATTCTGAATTTAGATTAGAGAGACAAGAACAAAACGGGGAAAAAAAGAGAGAAAGAATAGGGGGAGGAGGAGATGCGGCAGTCTGGGAAGGTTAATCCTCCTCCTCCCGCACTGTTCAGGCACATCCTGCTGTTGTGCTGCACTAATAAAGGCCCTTAAAAGGTTAGTTCACCCAAAAACGAAAATTCTGTCATTAATTACTCACCCTCATGTCGTTCCAAACCCGTAAGACCTCCGTTCATCTTCGGAACACAAATTAAGATATTTTTGATGGAATCTGACAGCTCTCTGACCCTCCCATAGACAGCAAGGGTACTACGAAGTAATAAGGTATATTACGAAGCTACAAGAATACTTTATGTGCGCAAAAGAAAAAAAAAACGACTTTATTCAACAATTCGTCTCCTCCGCTTCACGCTAGTGCCATTTTGGAGAGTATCAGCTGAACGCAAACAGCCGCGCCACACGGATACGCTGTTTTCGTTCAAATCAAATCACAAACAACCAGTGTTGGGCAAGTTACTCTGAAAATTTAATCAAATTACTGATTACTGATTACTCCTTTTAAAAGTAATCACGTTACTGTTCTGATTACTTTATTTCAAAAGTAATTAGTAATTAGTTACATTACTAGTTACGTTACTTTTTTCTCCATGAAATTCATGAAATCCTCCTTGCTACGTTTCTGGACGTTGATCGTGGTAGTACCCTTGCTGTCTATGCAGGGTCAGACAGCTCTCAGATTCCATCAAAAATATCTTAATTTGTGTTCCGAAGATGAACGAAGGTCTTATGGGTTTGGAACGACATGAGGGTGAGTAATTAATGACAGAATTTTCATTTTTGGGTGAACTACCCTTTAAGGTGAAAGAACGCCCACATATTCAGGTCAGATATAAACTGGTCGTTATATGACTCTCTGGTAAGCAGATGGGCTGCTTGTAGGCTGGCACCGGGGCTATGGTTAACAGTACAAAGTAATGTTAATTAGAGTGTAGAGTAAATTCAAACAGATGCCAGATAACTAGACTCAGCTGCATCTGACATTTACCAGCAGTTAGTGATTTAAAGGATAAAACCTGCTTCCTCTGCAGATTATCAGACAATATCAGAAATATCCCTGATTGATTTGATGTTAGGATTGAAATGAGGGGGTAAAGTCACATTTTTATCTTTTACTGTCTCAATAGACAAACCTTCTGTAAGAGTTGAGCGCCTGAGTATGTTTGACAAGGCCAAAAGCTGTTTTCCAAAGGTATCGGTCCACAGTTGAACCCTGTTCAGAACACAAAAAGCATTAGACATTACATCTTCCTTATATTTTATTTAAGCAATATCAAAGTCCGGTAGACAACAGAATGTGATCATGAGATTACTTTTAAGATACAAACA